TATAGACTTAAATTTAAAATGAGGAAACGGTTGTGACCCAATGAATAGTTTAAATTATTCTTTACTGATATTTGCTTTCCTATTTTCTATTATTTAATTTCTTACATGTATTTCATGTGTCTCCTTTAATAGAGATAAGGCGTTTCTATGGGGTGGAGCATGGTGGGGGATATGATGCTTGGAGAAAAACTTCAGCTTTAGCTACCCCTTTTGATTTTGACAAAGCACAATCCACAAAGCCAAAAGGTCATTGTGTGGCTGTGCGAGTGACTAGTGAGGACCCCGATGATGGCTTTAAGCCTACGAGTGGCAAAGTGCAGGTTAATTACCAAGTCCAACATCAATATCATCTGTTGCTTCATTCATCTTGTAACATGTACTGAGTTCAAGTATTTGTGCAGGAGCTTAGCTTTAAAAGCAAGCCAAATGTGTGGGCATACTTCTCTGTCAAGGTAAGTCTTCTGTTTCTTCAGATGCAGGCATAACAAATGTTGTGGTGCTAAAGTTTGTTGAATTATATATCTGCAGTCTGGAGGAGGAATTCATGAATTCTCAGATTTACAGTTTGGTAAGTAGTAAAATTAATTAATTAAACAAGTAAGAAAATTAACTACTATTGATTTTCAAATGACCAATATATCATTATGATCTTCAATTGGGAACTTGCATATTCCATAGTATTGTGTTGATAATGTTTAGAGTTCACACACCACCTGCCTTAATTCTAGGGTGTAGCTTATACGTTTGTTGGAAAACTTCATCTAATGGGAAGTGGTCTTAAGATGTAAACATGGTACAAGAGCCTATATACAGCCTATCTTGGTGAATCATATATTCCGGTGTCATCTCCTATTTGGTAGGCATCGAGAGAGGAGGGGTGTTAGAAAGTCTCACATCACTTGCCTAAATTCGTGAACTGCAACTTATAAATCAGTTGGACAATCTTCTCTTTGAGATTATAGGATGGAATCTAGTAGATGCATCATGTTGTGGATCTATCTTGTTCTTTTTTACCTTCTCCATCTTCTTTCAATGAATAATGATCAGTACACCTCACTTGTTATGGGACATATGATTAATATTTGAACTCATGATCTTTTAGAAGTAGAGCCAAGAGCTAGGATGTCCAGTTGGATTTGATGGAAGGTTGGGAAAACGGAAATCTCAATGCATGTATCAACAGATGTGTGCAGGCACATTTGCTTGTTTATGTAAAATTTTTCTTCATAGGTCTCGACAATAAGCAGTGGTAATAGTTTAAGGGTGAGCCTTGGCACAAGAATAAAGTTGCGCCTTGGTGACTAGTTGGTTGAGTTTAATCTAAAAATACCCTCTTTGCATATGCAAGAATAAGGTTGTGTACAATGACCCTCTTTCATACTTTCAATGAGCAGCGTTGCATAATAATTTCTTATGTGTAACTGACAACTCAATAGTCACTGTAGTTTTATGTTGGTTGTCATCCTCATGTGTGGATTAGTGGTATTAAATGGACTATGTAACACCCAATAGTTATATAATGTGTAACAACATTTGATATATTTACTAAAAATTTTACAACCTTCTTTTCCTGGGTTATATTTCACTCTGATAAAACAAAAAGAGACAGAGTGGCATTTTGCAAATTATAAGGGTGGAGTAGGAAAAATGTCGTCGAAATGGAGGGATGTTCTGTTTTTCAGATTACAGGTGCTAGGGAATAGAGATGATCATTGTTGGGCAAAGAAGAAAAACATCATGTCTATTAGAAAGTGGGTTTTTAAACCTAACTCAACCCCACAAAACCGGCTTGTAGGGTGAGGTTTGCACCTCACTTATATATTATAAATTGGCCTTATCTCTAGTCGATGTGGGACTTCCAACACACTCAGTTTTCTCAGATATAGTGAGAGCTTCTGATAATGATTTTGAAATGTTGATTCTTCTGTTAAGTAATGCATATAACAAACTTCATTATTGGTGAATTTGTTACGGTAGGGTATAAATTCTCCTTAACATTCTTGTTCATAAGGATTATGCATGTATTTACACAATTCCCATACTATACTCACCTTATACTATCTTCTAATCTGGTCTCTTTTACCTCAGGGCATGTGTTTGCTTTTGGAGAATCTAGGGCTTTAGCAATTGCAAATATGGTTCTAGGGCTGAAGGAGATTCAAATTCGGGGAGAAATCCGTACCAATGTTGATTACACCATTGATCTTCTGAATGTAAATTACTCATACGACTACAAATTGTTTTGTGAAAGTTGTTTAAAATGCTGAAGTGACAATATTACAATATTTGATCACAGGCTTCTGACTACAGAGACAACAAAATTCACACAGGTTGGCTAGATAGTAGAATTGCAATGCGTGTTAGAGCAGAGAGGCCTCCCTGGTATCTTTCTGTTGTTGCAGGGGCACTCTATGTAAGCAAACTTCGTTTGTTATATCTGTTATCTCCTTGAGCTTTTGTTAGTTTCATATGTGCATTCATAACCGTGATTGTTTCAATTAATGTAGAAAGCTTCTGCTAGCAGTGCAGCTTTGGTTTCAGACTATGTTGGCTATCTTGAAAAGGGACAAATCCCTCCCAAGGTATTGTGAATGGGAAGATCCTATAGTTTTCAGTGCCTTTAAACCCTATAGTGATGAAAATAATTTTTTGCAACTGTTACAGCACATATCTCTTGTCCATTCTCAAGTGGCCTTGAACATTGAGGGAAGCAAATATACAGTAAGTATTCTTATAAATGTCAATTTGGTTTTCTACTTACCTTTGTTGAGACTTATGCCATATCAGGCAAGAGTAAATTTGTGTAACTCATCTTGTAAAACAATTTCTAGATTGACATGATACGAGGTGGATCTGGAAGTTATAGATTGAGAATGAATCAATCAGAGATAGAAGCAGAAATACACACTTTACGTGATGGAGGTTTGCTAATGCAGGCAAGTATTTGTTCTCTAAACACCTATTTTATGCGTGTTATTTATTTTGCACTTTTCCCCATGACAGTACTATTTATCACACTCAATTATATCATCCCATGGTTTGTGAACATTTTGCATTTCTATTTCAATCTTAATTAGATTCTTCTGGTATAATTTCCTTGATATAGACATAAACAATTGCTGCTCCGGCTTCTAAAATTTTAGTATCGGGATTAATCGTTTAGCATAAAGTCTTTGTGAATGCATTGTTCTTCTCTATCAGTATGTTAGAGAAATGTTATGTGTGAAAAAGTACTTATTTTTTCTGGAGATGTTCAAACCTTTTTTTTGCCAAACATTGGAAAGGAATGTGGGCATTTAAGTACAGCTGATTTATCGTTATCTAAAGATTGCATTATTTTATCAGAGTTAAGACTTAAAACAAATCATAACTGGAAAGATTTTTGTTAAAGAAACAAATAATACTTTAGTATGGATAGTGTATGATTGGCCTGTTTAGAAGAGATGATGTGTGTCTAAAGTACATTGTTTAATTGATGCTAGTGATAAAGTAAATTATTCACCAAAAGAAAATATAAACTAAATAAGTATTGGCTGCATCAATAACTTTATCTTCAATTNCACACTCAGTTTTCTCAGATATAGTGAGAGCTTCTGATAATGATTTTGAAATGTTGATTCTTCTGTTAAGTAATGCATATAACAAACTTCATTATTGGTGAATTTGTTACGGTAGGGTATAAATTCTCCTTAACATTCTTGTTCATAAGGATTATGCATGTATTTACACAATTCCCATACTATACTCACCTTATACTATCTTCTAATCTGGTCTCTTTTACCTCAGGGCATGTGTTTGCTTTTGGAGAATCTAGGGCTTTAGCAATTGCAAATATGGTTCTAGGGCTGAAGGAGATTCAAATTCGGGGAGAAATCCGTACCAATGTTGATTACACCATTGATCTTCTGAATGTAAATTACTCATACGACTACAAATTGTTTTGTGAAAGTTGTTTAAAATGCTGAAGTGACAATATTACAATATTTGATCACAGGCTTCTGACTACAGAGACAACAAAATTCACACAGGTTGGCTAGATAGTAGAATTGCAATGCGTGTTAGAGCAGAGAGGCCTCCCTGGTATCTTTCTGTTGTTGCAGGGGCACTCTATGTAAGCAAACTTCGTTTGTTATATCTGTTATCTCCTTGAGCTTTTGTTAGTTTCATATGTGCATTCATAACCGTGATTGTTTCAATTAATGTAGAAAGCTTCTGCTAGCAGTGCAGCTTTGGTTTCAGACTATGTTGGCTATCTTGAAAAGGGACAAATCCCTCCCAAGGTATTGTGAATGGGAAGATCCTATAGTTTTCAGTGCCTTTAAACCCTATAGTGATGAAAATAATTTTTTGCAACTGTTACAGCACATATCTCTTGTCCATTCTCAAGTGGCCTTGAACATTGAGGGAAGCAAATATACAGTAAGTATTCTTATAAATGTCAATTTGGTTTTCTACTTACCTTTGTTGAGACTTATGCCATATCAGGCAAGAGTAAATTTGTGTAACTCATCTTGTAAAACAATTTCTAGATTGACATGATACGAGGTGGATCTGGAAGTTATAGATTGAGAATGAATCAATCAGAGATAGAAGCAGAAATACACACTTTACGTGATGGAGGTTTGCTAATGCAGGCAAGTATTTGTTCTCTAAACACCTATTTTATGCGTGTTATTTATTTTGCACTTTTCCCCATGACAGTACTATTTATCACACTCAATTATATCATCCCATGGTTTGTGAACATTTTGCATTTCTATTTCAATCTTAATTAGATTCTTCTGGTATAATTTCCTTGATATAGACATAAACAATTGCTGCTCCGGCTTCTAAAATTTTAGTATCGGGATTAATCGTTTAGCATAAAGTCTTTGTGAATGCATTGTTCTTCTCTATCAGTATGTTAGAGAAATGTTATGTGTGAAAAAGTACTTATTTTTTCTGGAGATGTTCAAACCTTTTTTTTGCCAAACATTGGAAAGGAATGTGGGCATTTAAGTACAGCTGATTTATCGTTATCTAAAGATTGCATTATTTTATCAGAGTTAAGACTTAAAACAAATCATAACTGGAAAGATTTTTGTTAAAGAAACAAATAATACTTTAGTATGGATAGTGTATGATTGGCCTGTTTAGAAGAGATGATGTGTGTCTAAAGTACATTGTTTAATTGATGCTAGTGATAAAGTAAATTATTCACCAAAAGAAAATATAAACTAAATAAGTATTGGCTGCATCAATAACTTTATCTTCAATTTGGCTAATAGTATAGTTTATGCTAAACATCCCTATTTTATGACTGGTCTTTTGTTCTATATCTTTGTTCGAGTTATTAACTAGAGGCTTCCACTTGTTACAGCTGGACGGAAACAGTCATGTAATATATGCAGAGGAAGAAGCAGCTGGAACTCGCCTTCTAATAGATGGAAGAACTTGCTTGCTTCAGGTTAAATGAGTTTATTTTAACATTAACTATTTCTTTTGTGTCCAAGGTAAGTTTTTAAACCTTTTTTGTCTATACAGAATGATCATGATCCATCAAAGTTGGTGGCGGAGACACCATGCAAGCTTTTGAGATATTTGGTCGCGGATGACAGTCATGTTGATGCTGACACACCATATGCTGAAGTTGAGGTCATGAAAATGTGCATGCCTCTTCTTTCACCTGCTTCTGGAATTATTCATTTCAAAATGTCTGAAGGTCAAGCAATGCAGGTATTTAGCATTCAGTTCCATAAAGAAGTACAGGTGCTGAAATTGAAGAACATAAATAATATATTATCACTTTTTGCAGGCTGGTGAACTTATAGCAAGTCTTGACCTAGATGATCCTTCAGCTGTAAGAAAGGCAGAGCCCTTCACAGGGAGCTTCCCACTCCTGGGACCTCCTACTGCAATTTCTGGTAAAGTTCATCAGAAATGTGCAGCAAGCTTAAATGCTGCAAGGATGATTCTTGCTGGGTATGAGCACAATATTGATGAAGTGAGTGAAGTCTTCACCTTGATTCATAAACACTATAATTTTACTGCATTCTAGGTGGTTGAGTAATCTGTTACAGATAGGAGATTTTTGGATTCTATTATTATTGAGACATATATATATATATATATATATATATATGTATGTATGTATGTATGTATGCATGTATGTTTGTCTTGTTAACAAGCTAAACAACTATCTCAGGTTGTGCAAAGTTTGCTTAATTGTCTTGATAGTCCTGAGTTGCCTTTCCTTCAATGGCAAGAGTGCTTGGCTGTTCTGGCAACCCGTCTTCCCAAAGATCTAAAAAATGAGGTAAAGAGATACCATGCTTCTTTTTTTTTCCCCTGTGGTTTAATACGTTAAAAGTAATCCAATCGGGTGTTGAACTTGGCTTTTCAGCTGGAATCAAAATATAAGGAGTTTGAGAGGATTTCAAGCTCCCAAATTGTTGATTTCCCTGCCAAATTATTGAAGGGAATTCTTGAAGTAAGTTTCTTTTCACGAATTGTTCATTTTGATGTTTCCCATTTTAATGTGAATAATTTATGAGGCATGTTTTACATTGCAGGCTCATCTTTCTTCCTGTCCCGAGAAAGAAAAAGGAGCCCAAGAAAGACTAGTTGAACCTCTTCTGAGTCTTGTTAAGTCTTATGAGGGTGGACGAGAGAGCCATGCCCATATAATTGTTCAATCCCTTTTTGAAGAGTATCTTTCTGTTGAGGAATTATTTAGCGATAATATTCAGGTTATTATAATTATTCAGCTGCTTGTACTGATATTATGTGGGCAATCTGTTTTGACCTTTTATGACTTCTACCGACAAAGGAAGTATTTTTCTTGTTGATGTTAACACTTATCTAGTTTTTACAAGATTCAAACTGATAATTATATATTTTTCTTTCTTTGTCTAAATCAAATGGTTTCTTTATTGTCTTGGGGAGCTTTATATAAAAACTAATAAAAATATTTAGTTTTCTTCTTTTGGCTGTTCATTTGAAGTTACAAATTACTGGTCTATCAGGCAACAAAATATAGACTAGGAGGAACTAAGTAACTCTTCTGATATAAAAGTTGTTTTCTTTATCTTTCAGTTTTCTAGAATATTCATGTTCCTTCCCTTGATGTCTAGGCTGATGTAATTGAACGTCTGCGTCTTCAATACAAGAAGGATTTATTGAAGATTGTTGATATTGTGCTCTCTCATCAGGTACGAACTTCTATAACCACTTCAGCTAGGGTGTTTTGCTTCCTCGATGTCTTGTTGACATTATATAGCAATTGAATTAACTGCATTTTTTGTGATTTTCAGGGCATCAAGAGTAAAAATAAGCTGATATTGCGTCTAATGGATAAATTGGTTTACCCTAATCCTGCTGCTTACAGGGATCAGTTAATCCGTTTTTCTTTACTCAACCATACAAGTTATTCTGAGGTTGGACATTACCCTGAGAAATTCTGTTCAAGCTGAAAATAGAATTCTATGTTAGTCATCACATATTTTAGGACATGGCATCTCTTCTACTTGGAGAGCATTGTGAATATACATCCTTCAATTATCTACTTTCCATTTCATCTTGCGGGTGAGACTTTTACATCTGTGGAACATTTTGAGCAAAATCCTTATTTGTAATTATTTTGATGCAGTTGGCACTAAAGGCAAGTCAACTGCTGGAACAAACTAAATTAAGTGAACTTCGATCCAACATTGCTAGAAGTCTCTCTGAACTAGAGATGTTCACAGAGGATGGTGAAAATATTGATACTCCCAAGAGGAAGAGTGCCATCAACGACCGAATGGAGGACCTTGTCAGTGCTCCTTTGGCTGTTGAAGATGCCCTTGTGGGTTTATTTGATCACAGTGATCACACCCTCCAGAGGAGGGTCGTTGAAACTTATATTCGCAGACTCTACCAGGTATTTCAGTTTTACTGATAATTTCAAATTTTTTAATTTTTCTGACTTTGTTATATTTATCACGTGCTTTTCTAACTTCTAGTATTTGCTATCAGCCTTATCTTGTCAAAGGGAGTGTTAGGATACAATGGCACAGATCTGGTCTTATTGCCACGTGGGAGTTCTATGATGAGTACATTGAAAGGAAGAATGGGGTTGAAGACCAAACTTCGAAGAAATCAGTGGAGGAGAAAGACAGTGAGAAAAAGTGGGGAGTGATGGTTGTAATTAAATCTCTTCAATTTTTGTCTGCAATTATCAGTGCTGCATTGAGGGAGGCGACCAGTAACCTTCATGACGCACTGACCAGTGGTTCTGCGGAACCAGTTAACCATGGTAATATGATGCATATTGGATTAGTGGGCATCAACAACCAGATGAGTTTATTGCAAGACAGGTACTGTTTCAGTAAATCCTCATATTAGTTTGAACCTTTCGTTTTTGTTTTTTTTCCTAATTGTTAAAGCATCAATGGTTTTATAGCTTACATTTTGTTTGAGATTTATAAAGTAGTTCTGGTAGTTTAGTTTTTGGTTTGATGATTGAGAAATATGGGACCACTGACTAAAATTAAAATTACAGTTTCCTAGAAGAAAACAAAGTATAGATGGACTAGTATACATATACTCTCTTTAGCTACTGATATGAACCTCCTCTTTCTTCTTGACACAAGCAACTTCTGATGTTTTGCAGCGGTGATGAGGATCAGGCTCAAGAAAGAATCAATAAATTAGCTAAAATACTCAAAGAGCAGGAAGTAGGCTCCACCATTAGAGCTGCAGGTGTCGGTGTAATCAGTTGTATCATCCAAAGGGATGAAGGACGTGCCCCAATGAGGCACTCTTTTCACTGGTCAGAAGAAAAGCTGTACTATGCAGAGGAACCTCTGTTGCGCCATTTGGAACCTCCTCTATCCATTTATCTTGAATTGGTTAGTTATTTTTTCAAGTCCCTGTACTTTATAAGGTGTGAGAAGGCAAATTCCACTTATATGCTAGATCTTAAACTTAAGCATTGGTCTGTTTATAGGACAAACTTAAGGGCTATGAGAATATACGGTATACTCCATCTCGTGATCGTCAATGGCACCTCTACACGGTTATGGATAACAAGCCACAACCAATTCAAAGAATGTTTCTTCGCACACTTCTAAGACAGCCAACCACAAATGAAGGATTTTCTTCATATCAAAGGCTAGATGCAGAAACATCTCGGATCCAATTGGCTATGTCCTTTACTTCAAGAAGCATTTTTAGGTCCTTGATGGCTGCAATGGAGGAGTTGGAACTTAATGCACACAACGCCAATATAAAACCTGAGCATGCTCATATGTACCTCTATATCATACGGGAGCAACAAATAGACGATCTTGTTCCCTATCCCAAGTAATTATAGCTACAAACTTGTCAAATATGTTCTTTTAGCATATAGCCAAGCTTTGTCTTTGTCTTACATTTGGATGTTATACCAGGAGAATTAATGTAGATGCTGGGAAAGAAGAAACAACAGTTGAGGCAATTTTGGAAGAACTGGCACAGGAGATCCATTCATCCGTTGGTGTAAGAATGCATAGATTAGGGGTTGTTGTGTGGGAAGTCAAGCTCTGGATGGCAGCCGTTGGACAGGCAAATGGTGCTTGGAGGGTCATTGTGAACAATGTGACTGGTCATACATACACTGTACATGTAAGTCTATTTTACTTTAAAATTTGAAGAAAATCTTTTCCCCATGCCACAACTTTTCCGGTTAGCTTTCTAAAAGGTTGCTTTTTACTAGCAAAGGTGAGTTCTTAATAATTAACACGGAGTGTTTTGCATATATTTGATATAGAAATGCTAATTAGCATCAAACACAATTACATTTTTCCAGTCCTTTAAAGTATTTTTTAACCTGAAGAATTTGATAAATACCAGCTCATGTGTCAGCAATTCATTTATTTGAGTTTCTATAGAAGAGCTGTCTTAAACACTTTGCATCGATAAGGATCTTTGGGCAGGGAAAAAGTCAGACGAGTAATGTCTTTTTATCAAGTGGAATTTTATTCTTTTTCGTGATATCTTGAAAAGTTGATCAGTATTCACGAATTGTGACCTTTACAACGTAAAAAATATATATATGTGGACAATGGTGGTCTTCAATTTGTAGGGGTCAACAATATATTCTCATGTTTAGCTATATCTCATATGCATTTGAAGGATTATTAATGGGAACTATTTATAAATATTGATATGATTCTTAATTTGTATAATTTCAGATATACCGAGAAAAGGAGGATACCAACACTCATAAAGTGGTATACAGTTCAGTCTCGGTTAAGGGTCCACTGCATGGTGTGCCAGTGAACGAAAATTATCAACCTTTGGGAGTTATTGACCGAAAACGTCTTTCAGCAAGAAAGAACAGCACCACATATTGCTATGATTTTCCACTTGTACGTGCTATTTTGTGAATTTAATTGAAATATAAGTGTTCCACTTTTTGTTATGACCGGATGACACAAGTAGTCAAACCATGTTTCCTGAAGAGATATAATTCTTGCAGGCATTTGAAACAGCTTTGGAACAGTCATGGGCAATCCAACAGCCGGAATTTCAAAGAGCCAAAGATAAAAGTCTTCTAAAGGTAACAGAGCTTAAATTTGCAGAGAGAGAAGGTAGCTGGGGTACTCCTCTTGTTCCTGTGGACCGTTACCCTGGACTCAATGATGTTGGTATGGTAGCCTGGTTTATGGATATGCGTACCCCTGAGTTCCCATCTGGAAGAACAATATTGGTTGTTTCAAATGATGTGACCTTCAAGGCTGGTTCTTTTGGACCGAGAGAGGATGCTTTCTTCCGTGCAGTAACTGATCTTGCATGTAAAAGAAAACTACCTTTAATTTATTTAGCAGCAAATTCTGGTGCCCGTTTAGGTGTAGCAGAGGAAGTCAAATACTGTTTCAGAGTTGGTTGGTCTGAGGAATCTAGTCCTGAGCATGGCTTTCAGTATGTATATTTAACACCCGAGGACTATGCTCGGATTGGATCTTCAGTCATAGCACATGAATTAAAGCTTGAAAGTGGAGAAACCAGATGGGTTATAGATACCATTGTTGGCAAGGAAGATGGCCTTGGGGTTGAAAACTTGAGTGGCAGTGGGGCTATTGCTGGTGCCTATTCCAGGGCATACAAGGAAACTTTTACATTGACATATGTGACTGGCAGAACTGTTGGAATAGGTGCTTATCTTGCTAGGCTTGGAATGAGATGCATACAGAGGCTTGATCAGCCCATAATTCTTACTGGTTTTTCAGCACTAAACAAACTTCTAGGTCGGGAAGTATACAGTTCTCACATGCAACTTGGTGGACCCAAAATCATGGCTACAAATGGAGTTGTTCATCTTACAGTTTCCGATGATCTTGAAGGTGTTTATTCTATTTTGAAGTGGCTTAGCTACATTCCTTCTCATATAGGTGGTGCGCTTCCCATTGTTAAGCCTCTTGATCCTCCAGAAAGGCCAGTGGAGTATTTACCAGAGAACTCGTGTGATCCTCGTGCTGCCATTTCTGGAACCCTGGATGGTAATGGAATATGGCTGGGAGGCATCTTTGACAAGGACAGCTTTGTGGAGACACTGGAGGGATGGGCTAGAACAGTTGTTACAGGAAGGGCAAAGCTTGGAGGAATCCCTGTGGGAATTGTTGCTGTAGAAACACAGACAGTGATGCAAATAATACCTGCTGATCCTGGTCAGCTTGATTCTCATGAGAGGGTCGTTCCTCAAGCTGGGCAAGTGTGGTTTCCTGATTCTGCAACCAAAACAGCCCAAGCAATATTGGATTTCAATAGAGAAGAGCTCCCGCTTTTCATTCTCGCTAACTGGAGAGGCTTTTCAGGAGGGCAAAGGGACCTTTTTGAAGGAATTCTTCAGGCTGGTTCAACTATTGTGGAGAACCTTAGAACATACAAGCAACCCATATTTGTGTACATCCCAATGATGGGGGAACTCCGAGGTGGTGCATGGGTGGTTGTTGACAGTCAAATCAATTCAGACCACATTGAAATGTATGCTGATCGAACAGCTAAAGGTAATGTCCTTGAGCCTGAAGGAATGATTGAGATCAAATTCAGAACAAGGGAATTGTTGGAGTGTATGGGTAGACTGGATCAACAATTGATAACTCTGAAGGAAAAACTTCAGGAAGCCAAGAGTAACAGGGACCTTGCCGCCTTTGAATCCCTACAGCCGCAGATTAAATCCCGTGAAAAACAGCTTTTGCCTGTGTATACCCAGATAGCCACAAAGTTTGCTGAACTACATGATACTTCCTTAAGAATGGCTGCCAAGGGTGTAATTAG